CGCTCCCCAGATCAACCCCGCTGACGGGTGATTGCTGTGGCAAAAAGATCGATAGAAACAGCTGAGAGACGTGCGAAACAGAAGATACAGCTTTGAACTAACTCCTCCAAATTTTGATGAATGCAGCAGAGCTATAGGGCTTGCTGATAAGAGACCTCCAGAAATAGCAGTTTGGCTAAACCGATGTTTCTTGAAACTCACGAGGAATTTACTGGGTGCGGGAATGTTTGCGTACATCGACAATTGTTATGGAAACCATTTATATTACAAGAAGCTATCCAATCGGATGGCAGGTACAATAACAACAAGAATAGACTCCCTAAGCAGACCATCCAGCAAAAAATGAAGGCGGAAATGGACCAAAAGAACACAGCGCTGCTCCATTGTAAAAAGTGAAGTGATATTTTAATGGCTACAACGCATGAAGAAAAAAAACTTAAAAAGACGAGTGACCACAAGGTCTCCTACAAGTGATATCTCAGGTTTAGGCACATACGTGTTTTCATTCACACAGCAAGTCATACATGGTTGATGAACAGATGATGGATCTATATTTTTTTGAGTCATTGAGCTAATACGAGGTTGCTAAATAGTTTTATTCGACTAATTTTCGACGCCTTCGCCTTCTTCAGAGATCGAGTGGACTGAGTCCATGGCACACCGGTGATCGCCGTCACTATATGGAAGTTTGTTTTCGGATTGAACGAATACACTTGAGTGAAGCATTGCTCGAATGAAGTGCCGCTCACTAGTGCTCTCATAGAAGATAGATTTTGATTTACTTGTGCTATACAACAAGTCGACCTGCTTTTTTATCGAGTAATGCATCTCCCGAAAGTTGATGTTATATTTCCTGCCCCTTAGCGTAGTAACAGTTCTAAAAACTGAATTCATTCACCCTTAGTCTGAATAATTACGTGACATCGACCATCCACATCGTGGCAACTAGCAGCTGTAAACCATCGGAACGGACCAATCCAGCCCCGTGAAAAGAGAATAAAGCTCTCGGCTTTGATCAATCCCTGAGGAATGCGCCATGCAATCGACTTCACTAAACATCGTTGGAGGTGATTGAATGCATATGTGGCCTTCACAATAACTCGCGGTGGCCTACCGATGTATCGAGCCAGTGCTGCTAACCTCCCAGACAAGTCTGATGGTAATTTGCCGACCCCGGAGGGATGGAAGGCTTAGTGGGCCATGGGCGCGGGGATCGATTCCACGTGTGTGTTGCAGGACCCCTCCGACCACTGCGCCACACGTGCCCTTCCAATCACACTGAATACAGAACAGCTTCTTTGCACACTCACCGCTTTCCATGAGGCTTCCAACTCAGTATGTCGCGTGGAGACCCACCGCACGGAAATCACATGGAAGCGTAATGTGCCCCTCCCATCAGAATAATAGGCTTATATATTACCCAATATCACGCGTGATAATGAGGCATTCTTCTCTGCTGTTCATTTCCGGATTTCTGGAATTAATCTAGAACGCCTCGAGAGTTTTGTACGCTTGTGTTCTCGATTCCTGCGTGAGGAACGTAACCCATACTTCAAAATCTTCTCCGTTATGTCCCTGCGTCCTATGCGTGCCCAGTGGAGAATTTGGCTTACGTTTGCCGACTAGATGTTCTTTTATACGAACGTAGAGTGGTCTACCCGTTTCGCCAACGTATTCGTCCTTGAAAGCTTTACAAGAGATCAGATAGCCTTTACCCGAACTCATGCAGTCACCGTCTCTACCGTTGGGGCAAATTATGCAAATCTGCGGTGCACATAGATGGTCGTATAGGCGGTTATGAACTAGCTGGCGTCTTAGAGTACTCGGTGGCAATTCCATTATCGTAACCGAATTCTCTAGACCGGCTCTTCCTAAACAGAGTTCTATAGGTACACTTACTTCATTTGAAATGAATGGCAGTAGAAACGGGACCTTGTTGTCGCTAGAGTTATCCTTGGAATACCTGTTGTTTCCTCTACACCTATCTCGAGCTACAGTTTCGTAGCCATTAAAAATGGCTAAGTGCCGCGCCAAGTACCTGAGTTCTTCAGTCCTGAGTTTCAAGTTCTTCATTCGCGTTCTTCTTGGTTTAGCATTTTCTTTGTTTGGTTATGGAGTGTTTGGCCGAATAGGTTGGTGTCGACTTGACCTTTCCAGGCTCTGAGGAAGGCGACATCCGCCGAAACGTCAGCTTATTCGTGAATGAAGAATAAAATAACACCTCGTGTTTGCTCAACAAGAATACGAAGCTAATAAAATAGTAAACTAAGCTGGACATTTCCTATGGGAAAGCTCAGTTAACATTACACTCATGACAGGAACTGCAGTGAAATATAGCAGGCGTAACTTATCGATCGATTAGCATAGTGTAAACTGCAGTATTAGAAAATGTCCCTCTGTACCATAGTGGTCATATTATCTGTGAAAAGCAGGATATCGATTGCATGCGGAAAATATCCCTGTGAAAAAACAACCTTAAGAAGCATGTAGCACGTGTCTTTGGTCTTATCGCGAAAACCTGTAATCGAATTAAGCCAGAGGGACAGAAATGGAAAGAAGGATAGCAACGTCGAGACACTTTTCCGTCAAGTCAAACCTGTCCATGGCGGTACAGAAACCGCTCGCAATATCAACGTCACAATTAATCAGAGAATCACAACGTTGCTGAGATATTTGCAAAACTCTGGACCGCAGGTGTCTATGCTGGGGAACGAACGCGCTATTGTCTTTTCCGGGGAGTAACGCGTTCACCACCACACCATGCGGGTCCTTCGTTTCGCCTATCTCTCAGCTATTTCTATCGATCTTTGCCACAGCAATCACCCGTCAGCGGGATTGATCGAAGGACCCGCATGGTGTGGTGGTCAAAGCGTTACTCCCCGGAAAGGACAATAGCGCGTTCGTTCCCCACCATAGACACCTGCGGTCCAGAGTTTTGCAAATATCTCAGCAACGTTGTGATTGTATTTCGCTTAGTACCCTGCCGCGAAATTATAGTAGCCAGAAAACAAAAAAGTTATAAATTCAGAGAGTCATTATCGACCGCACATTACAACGGTGGTTCAAGCAAAAGTTTCGTAAAGCAGAATGGTTGTGGAACCTGGTATTGGTTTAATCTTACCTAGACTTCTTGATGGAATCGCCGAACTCATTCTCAGCTTCGGAGGCCTTGCTGAGACGATGAACCCTCTCGCTGTACATTGCAGCTTGACACCCAGGAACACTTCCTAGCCATGATGAGGTCGTAAACCATTGGGAGGATGCACACATAGCCATTGCCAAAGGCAACGAATCAAATTTCCACCCAACCAAAAAACAACAGCGCAACAGTGCAAAAAAAGCCAAATTTGAAAAAAGTGCAAATTCCTAAACTAAATAATTGGGGTATCTCTAGGCCTACTCTAATGAGAATGAGTCCGCCATGACACCACACATTATATGATAGACAACAGTATTTCGCTCACTAATAAAAAGATCCTGAAAAGAAACAGACCAAAACAACCATCAATCATGACGAGACTAGTGAAAACGATAGACAGTAAGAAGTATCACGAAAAAAGCTCCTTAGCTAAAAAATTTTTCCGCTATTCCTTAAAAAAATACCTTAGGGAGCTCCAGTTCGTTCATAATCATCTCCAAGTCGTCCTTTTTGATGTTCACTATTTTTTGCCTCGGCTAAAAGCTAGTAAGCATCAGTAAGTAAAATTCTTGTAAAGAACGATGAGAATCAATTATGGATTACATCAAGACCTGAATGACAAAGAAGGGACCAATATTACTTACGATACCTGGAAAGCAAAGCTACCTGTTGAGGATTTGCAATAATTTTTCCTAACGCATCCGAAGACATCCTCAAATCATCTTTTTCCTCCTCAACAACGTTCACCTAAAAGGTCTTACTCATTAGAAATATGTGATATTCCCAAATTTAAAAAGCTGACTACCTTCTCAAGATCGGCAGCCCCCCAATTGTGTTTGTCGTTTTGTTTGACATCTTCGTCAGGTAACCCATCATCTTTGTCAGCCATTTATTAATGACCTATCTATAACTCTAGCAGTTTCTAAGAGAGGATAATCGAGAAACAAATCAATCAAAAATAGCTCTGAAATCGATTTAAAAACACCCATACCTCAAACCCAACTACTCGCGTTTAATCCTCACTGGAAGGAAAGGTTTAATTGAAATCAGGAAAGGGAAACTACTACATCTTACAATCGGGAACAAATCCGTACACTACGAAAATATGCCCCAGTCATAGTAACGTAATTCCCATGACCAATTTCGGTTAACTTCGGCATTGACCGAATCGTTCACTACTCTGTTGACCAGCAAACACGAGGTTGTTACTTTATTCCTTATTTATGAACCCACGGATCTCTCCGACTTGAAGTATCTCGGGCCGGTTAGTCACGAGGGCTACGTGGCGCTGCCCTAGGTAGCGGATAGGTGGGGAGTGGTTAAACGTGAACTAAAAGCGACACAATAAGTAGAAGAATTCATTATATTCTTGATGAGCAAACTGAAGTTGCTTTTTCATTTCTTTATTTACGAACACGTTGACGCTTCGATGGATTTCCCTCCCTCAGAGCCTGAAAAATCAAGTTGACCGCAATCTACCCAGCTAAACACCTCTACCAAATATACGAAACACCAAGCCAAGATTTCAATCACATTGAACACAAAGCAGCTCCTTCGCATACTCAGCGTTTTCCAAAAATCTTCCACTAAAGATGCCAACCTAGGAATCCCGAATCCTGGTTTAATGCTCTCTCCGTTCCGTTATGAAGGTGTTTGACTGGGGGCCCTGAAGAAGGCGAAATCCGTCGAGATGTCAGCATTTCCGTCAATAAAAAATAAAGTAACAACCTCGAGTTTGCCCGTGAAGAGTTACTTGACACTTGAATGGCCCATCCTCAATGGTTGCGCGGGTTCTAGCATAATCTCCATTTGTAGAAGATTTGCTGGTTAAATTATTGTGGTTCTCCGGAATCTCAAGGTCAACTTGGCCAAAGGCTGCTCCAGGTCTTCACCACCACAGGTAGTTGCAGCCCTTGTGGATCAGACGGAGATTTGCCACCATGGGACACCATGCGACTTTGATTCCAGGACTGTGGTGAACGCTGGTATTACCCTTAGCTAGGCTTCCTGATGAAAACGCCGGACTCCTTCTCAGCTTGGGAGACCTTGCCAGGGGAATGAACCTCCCCCACTGTACATCGCATCCCTACACCCAGGAACACCTCTCAGCCACGATGAGGCGGTAAATCGTTGGGAGGCATGAAGAGAACAGTGAATAATAGCGTGTACTCTTTCCAATAGCGCACAGAACTAAACAAATGCAAATCAGACACGCCCATTCGGCCAATCAATAAAGAAAAAAGAAACAAAAAAGGAGGAAGAAACACGCCCCGAACTCAGTAGTACTCCGGAAACAAGTTACAGAAAAGAACTAATAGTACGTCAACGTAAAGTACGTCAATCAAGTGTGGAGTAGTCCGTAATCGGTAATGGCGCGTAGCAAGTGACTTAGTGCTGACCCACTCACCCATGTGCTCTCTCGGTAACCCTCTCTTTAACTATGTGGTTGCAGTTTATGTTTGTTTGCACTTCTCAAGGACTTCTACACCCTCCGTGCTCTCCGTTGTGGGCTCTTAGGATGTGTAATGCCATCACAACGGCGCTTTTCATGACGTCTATGAAACATTTGTTACACGAGTGTTGCTTTAAATGCTTTATTGATTAGAAATATGAGAAGGCAGCACTAAAGAATAAAGTCATTTTGTTGGATAACTTTTTTCTGAGTCAAAGAAGCTGCTTATATTCGGGTCATGGATGATCCATACCATTAGTATTGTTGGCAAACTTGCCATCTTCATTTCGCGTCCCGTTTAGAACTTGAAGCTTTTCAAATCTTGAAAGTATTTCAGGAATTAAGCAACGAATGGATACTGGGAACGAAGGCTCCGTGGTTGGAGTAGCACCGATAGAGGTGAGACCAGTTGTGTAATGATGGAAAATTCGATCAATCAATATTGATGTTAGACCATAGTTATGAAGGTTCTTCATAAGAACTAATTGTTAGTACTGTGATTACTAAGTACAGTATCTTAGGTACCTTAGCATGATTTTTGGTTTAGGCTTAGCCTTGAACTCAAATATGGTACTCCTTTGTTCTGTTCGTTTTCGATTCACCTGATAGCGACACGTATCTCTCTTTCTGCCGGAATGAGTCATACGTCATCCATTAGAGACCGAAGGGTGCCGTAATGACGAAACACCCCACTAGTGCAGTGAGACGGCGTCGATTCGTGTTTCTTGTCCCCTGGACGATCCACTTTTGATAACTTCACTGAGTATAAGTGCATGTAAAGAAGTCTGGTAGCAGTTCGAGGATGTCTCGTCCAGCCAATTGAGCATTCGTCCTCCACATCGATAGTTGGCCGCCGCTCAATTAAGGCCGTGCGGCGACCAGAAAAACTCTATTTGCCCTCGCGCCAGCCGTTCGCAAGTTGTGAAACTCCATCTCTCATCGCCCGCCAGTTTGCGTGTACAGGTCGTTGTCATTCGTTGTTGGTACTGCTTCTGGTCCCATATTGTTTGTGGATGGATGGTTCCAGTCCATCACCAAGTCCTGTTCCTGCCAAAGAGGTAATCAGACGGAACTTTTAATGTTGTGTTTCAAGATGTGCAGCCTGATTATCCATGAAATCAATGTGGCGATATCTCTTTGTAGTACGAAAAGAAGGCTTACCAGCTGCTCAAATCCTCTAATGCATGTTTGGCTTCAGATTTGAAAACGACACGTACTGTGAGGGGTAGTACAGGCCAGAGCGTTGTTCTTAAGGCCTATTACGAAGCGGATTGCTAGATTTAATTTACTGATTAGATGTGATGTCAAAATGGTGCTGATTTATTTGACTGCGCTAGGGTGGGCGTTATTGAGCAGAAAGTTAATCCCTAGGATATTCGCTATGAGTTCATTACGTTTATAGTTTCATATAAGTTTATTATAGTCGTTATCTAGGTGGCGATCGCAACCAAGGAGTCTGTGACGGAGTATGTGAAGAATGCGGGTTTAGCCTTACTGGGTACCTCAAGCAAAGATGCTCAGTTGGAGATAGTACTGGAGGAATCTGATGCCCTTGTAAAATTCATTACCGATCCGCAGACACACGTTCTCGTTGTTGATAGGACGATCCACCGAGGTGAGTCCTACTTTTTCGCTTGCGTATTCTCCTTTTCATAGACTTTATAGATATGTAGATTTGTAGATAGATTATAGATATGGATTATATAGATTGTTTTAAAACAGAGTTTACGTCAATATGTACCTGCATATGTTTACACGCATATATTGTAGATGTGCATGTACATCCATGTATAAACGTACATTTCACATACATATGTACTTGAATAGGAGCGCATGTAGCACAGTGGTCGGAGGCGCTCTGCAATACACATGGGAGTCGATCCCCGCCACAGGCCCACCAAGCTTTCCATCCTTCCGAGGTCGGTAAGTTGGTACCAGACTTGTCTGGGGGATAGCAGCACTGGTTCGGATACATCGGTAGGCCACCAAGAGTCATTGTAAAGGCCAGATATGCATTCAATCACCTCCAAACGATGCTTAATGAAGTCCAATGCATGGCGCATCCCTCAGGGATTGTGCAACGCCGAGATCTTTATCTTTTTTATCATTTATGTATGTATAGTTTAGGAAAAGTGATTACGAAAGATTTATAATGAATTCTCACCAATTGTACCGTATTTTTAAGCATTGGTGCTGTCTTCGTGAAGTAATAAGAAATGTTTTACATAGGACACTGTGGGGCCAACCACATCGCTTGGTTATTTGTACCGACAAAAGCAACAATGTTATTATTTTTGTTCTTATTACCCGACGCGACGCGACACTCCATTTACCACACTATGCGGATCCGAGGACTTGTTGTACGCGGCTTGTTTTCTCGTATCCTATGTACATGAAGGTCTTCGAACTTTTAGCATGCTGGTTCGGCTGCTGTTTGAGGATTTTTCGCCTTCGTCGCGAATGTCGTGGAACGCTGGTTCGGACCGATTCTCCATGGAGTTCTGGAATAGCCGTGGTAAAGTGTTCTCACCTGTATTAGAGACAGTGAGCTTGTCCTAGACAAGTCTGGTACCAGTCTCCCTACTCTGGAGGAATCAGATACTTAGTGGGTGGGCCCATACAGGTCGAACCGCCTGTTTAGATTGAGCCATTCGCGTAATGGACGGGCGCAGTACTAATTCAGTAACAGAACTTTGAAATGCTATTTAGTCCGTTGAAGAACAAAAGTTTAAGCTATTTGAAGGCACTATTAATGGAATAAAAACATCATGTTGCGACCTGTTGTTCAAATGTTTTATCCGGTTAGACTAGTTTATAACAGAAAGTTCTGATTCTTCGGCCCGCATATTTCGGAGAAGCGTCGAGAAGTGCATGGCATGCCAAAACGTCGAAGTTTCAGATCAGTCGGGAGATGCTGACACAGGGGATGAGAGTGAGACAGCTCTGGCAGTCTTTACGGTACGCAATGATGTTCTTTATAGAACGGATCGAAGTACATCGATTGTATTTATAAAGAAAGGTGGAATCATCGAAGCTGATAAATTAATTCCAGACCAGCTAAGAGTGATGGTGTAAGTGATCAATATTTTGCTAACCTTCTTTCTATATATGAGGATAAAATTCCCTAATATACGTCAAGAAATGTAAGCTGGATGAGGGCATTTATCTGCATTATTCATCCTTAATATTTGTTCTAGTGTTTGGTTTCTTTACCCATTCGGGTGAGAAGAATCGAGCTGTAATCAGATCCGATATTTATCAGTTTGTTTTGGATCATTTCCTTTTATAGACTTAGTGAGGGCAATCCTTGCGAAACTTTATGTGCACTCATTGGGAGAGCAGTTACACCTTATTTCAAATCCTTCATAAAGGAAAGTGGTCGTGGCGAACGAGATGGCGACAAACTGGCTCCTATTGTTGAGAAAAACCTCAATGAGGCTGAGGTCCATCTAAGTTTTATTTTGGTTTTTTTAGACTGCTTGGAAGTATGGTGTGAGTTTTAGGTTGCATTGCTTCATCTGCAACAGAACATTGATATACCCGAAATAAACCTCATCATCAATCCGCACATTCAAGCTGCAATCCAGAAATCTAGCAAAGAAGGCAGGAAAGCAAAGGTTAGTGTGCTTGAGACGGACCGCTGATTTCTGATGGTTCTTGGCAAATGGAATATCTGTTTTTTTTCTCGGTTGCAGGTAACTGATTTGGGCGATTTGGTGGAAGATGCCCAATTTTTAAATAGTTTGCAGTCAGGAGTGAATCGGTGGATCAAAGAGATAAGAAAGGTGTGTGCTGCATCAATCGGAGATCGTCTTTGTAAATGTTCTTATTTTTTCTAAATTTTTTTTCACATCTAGGTGACGAAGCTGGAGCGAGATCCAGGTTCCGGCTCATCATTGCAGGAAATGGCTTTTTGGCTGAACTTGGAACGCGCCCTACAAAAAATTCTTCAGAAAAGGGAATCGGAGGAGGTTTTTCCATAATTTTGTATCGTCTTTGTCGCCTGAAATTTAATAATGTTTCTTATTAGGTTATGTTAACACTAGAAGCACTGAAGTGTGGGAAAAGATTTCATGCTACCGTATCCCTCGATACCGACACAGGTATTTTTTCGTATTACGCGGTATTCTTTCGATGTTTCCTGCTTCGAGCATATTTATCTGCGACATTTACGATACTGTCATCAACCATTAAATGAATGGAATATATGTATACATATCGTCTCATGAACAGCTATTTTTATTAGTTGTTTCACTATCCATTACTATTATTTATCGTTATTCTTTATTATTTTATTCGCTTATTCAGTTTTATTTTATTTTTATTTTTTGTTATTTTTTATTTTGTTCGGTCGATATGCTTACTGTAGAACAAATGGTGAGACAACAATATATTGATTGATGCAGGCGCCTATTTCTGCGTGACCAGCAAATGGGGCGACGTCTAATTTCATGTCGTTAAGAACTTATTGGTTTTTGGATCGTAGGCGATGACTTCTCGATAACTTGAGGATTTGGATTGAGAACATGACCATGCCATAGAAGGAACTTTGCCGTATCGCTCGAGGGATGCGCATGACATATATGCTACTGTTTACTACGTGTTGCTATGGGACGTCACGCAGGCACGTTACTATCAGAATTGGGAAGTGTTCTGCACATTATGTTGAGTCAATCCTTGTATCCTTCGCATCATCACTTTCGCTACGATGACTATGATTCACATAGCGATTGGGACGAAGTAACAGCTAAATATCCGTTGACTTACTGGTCATTGACCATGTTCGGAAGGTTCTTTGTGTATTGCTAAGCATGGAGCAGATCTTTTCTCGGTCGTCGTTCGCCACAATATCTGTGTTGTATGAAATATCGAATATTTGGGTACCTGGATGGCTCGACTTCACTGGTTGCGTGGGTCCTAGAATAATTTCGAGTTGCTAGTTTAGCTATTGTGGTTCGCTGGGCTCCGGACGTCAGCCTAGTCGAAACTTTCCTCGGGTCACCACACTAGGCAGTCGCCACCCTTGTGGATCAGAGCGAAATTTGTCAACATGCGACTTTGATACCAGGACAGCGGTGGTTCGTGGTATTGGTTCACTCTTAGCTAGGTTTCCATAAAGAAACCTCGGACTCCCTCTCACTTTAGGAGGCACTTCTGAGAGAGTGAACACCCCTCCGCAGATTTCAGCCACACATCCACGAACACCATTTAGCCACACATCCACGAACCCCATTCAGCCACGATCAGGCTGCAAACCGTTAGGAGGGCGATATCGAATAACTACAAAAAGAGGCAAACAGTTCCATGCGGCAGTAAACGACTGTAGAAAAAGGCATCGAATATGACCCATTTTGGCCAATTCGCTAGGAAATATGTGCACTATCTGTGATGCACATGCGCATAAATGGGTTAAGTTCGATGACCTTTAGTGATTTATGCTTAAATAATACTGGAAAGTAACATTTTCTTGTATTCATGAGCTTGCGCATGGTTGTGAACGTGTATTTATTGTGGCTAATTTCCGGTGTCTTCTTTAGAGCAAAAATGATTAGAGGAGAGCGTCCATAGACGTTCATCGTTGCAATTCGTGTTATCGTTGTTGCATCATGTCAGATCTACTGGACTAGGATGTCTCACTCGAATCATTGAGGATCTGAAGATGACGTAAATACCGAAGCTTCAACTACAATAGGGATTTGATAGCAACCTGCGTGAGCTGATTAGTCCTACGGTTCACGTTTTGTTCTCCTTTGCAGGTTTGAAGCAGACTCTTGCATTGGTTAGTGACTATAACTCGCTGATGAAAGATTTTCCTCTGAACGAACTAGTCTCAGCAACTGATTTGGATTCGATCAAAATCGCTCTTGGAAATGTTTTTGGACATATGAAGAAGATCAGGTATTCCGCTGATTTTAAATCACTTTTCTAATTTCTGAGTAACTAGTCAAGTACTCTTTTCAGTATACGTATATACTTACATGACTGGGCCCATATTATCGATGCCACACCCCATACTCACCAATCGCTCCCTCTCAGGGTCGCCAGATTGTTAGCAGTTTTGTCTGGGAGGATGAAACGCTGACATTATACATTGGTAGACCGCCGCAAGTCATTGTATAGGCCATATATGCATTAAATTACATCTACGGTGCTTGATAAGGTCGAATACGTTGCGCATCCCTCAGGGATGGTCAGCGCCATACTCTCCGTCATCTTTCTATCCATATATACATATATATATATATACATGTATATGCACACACGTATGTAAATGTATTTCTATGTGTATATGCATTCATATACGTGTACGTGCATATATACATATATATGTATGTATATATGTATATATATATATATATATGTATACGGACATAGCAGGTGAAAATTGAGGTACCTACTTGTGACGGGCTTACTACCATCATTATTTCATCATTTTTCAGAGCGACTAAATATCCTATCCAACGCGCACTTCGACTGATCGAAGCCATTTCACGAGATACGAATGCCCAGATTTTGAAGGTTGCTGTTCACTTTTCTGGTCAACTTTGAATTGGTTGCTGTTAATAGAAAAAAGGAGTTTAGGTGCTTGGCACACGTCGGCTAATGCACATATCAATCGTCGAGTTCGACCACCTCATTATGCAGTGTACCCAGCTGTTTACGAAATGGGATGACGAATATGACAAGTACTATGTTTTATTATTACATCTTACACTGAGTTTGGGTCAGATATTAGTCACAAATCTTGGTTTCAGTCTTACCAAAAGAGCTTATATTTTTTGTGAAATTATTGAAATTATTTTGCAGAATTTACTACGTGATTCAGATTTATCACCCTGCTTCGCGATATTTCTAAAAAAAAACGCGATGAACCGGTGAAGTTAATGTGGAAAGTGATGCCAGTGCACAAGAAGCTGGAAGGACGGCTCGTTCAAATTAAGGCCTTTAGAAAGTGAGGTAGTAAAATGACTACAATAGTAAAAATAGGTCTATTAAGAACACCGGCTACTTCGTCGCCGTTTTTTAACGAATCATATTGATATCTTGTTTATAGCTCCTATATATACGTATGTATAATTTTGGGACATGGAGACGGTAACTCCTAAAGGCTGCCACGACCGACTTTCTATTAACCTCGGCATTGATCAAGTAATTTTCTTCGTATTTTAGTTGAGTAACCAACACTTTACTCAACAAAAATACGAAGAAAGTTACTCCTAAAGGCGTTAAGCATGCAGGTTAATGTAATGCATGGAAATCAAATGGCAGGAGGTTTATAGTTCTTGTGAATTTACACTATTTAATTTTAAGGCAGCATGAACAACTTCGCGTAGTAATCGCTCGTGTACTGCGTCCTGTAGGAACACCATCCAGTGATGCGCAACCGGATACTCAGTCTCACGGAGGTGAACCTACACCTGTGGATCAAGTTAGTTGGATTTTCCTTCTCTATTCATTTTCATACTCAAGCACGCCCTCTCGGAAACTCGGCATAAGTTTTAATTGACGTATTCACTGTATTAAGGTTAACCTTGCTTATGAATTTGTGAAAGAAGTTGACTGTCTTGATGTGAGCGTAGAAGGAACTGCTGCTTGGGATGCCTCCCAGCGCAGGTATTCGTTGTTCCACTGTTTCAACGGCTATCACTTTCTGAGCACTATGCATGTAAATTTAGATATGAAGAGCAAATTGCTAGAGTAGAAACTGCAATCACATCCAGGCTTAGGGATCAGCTTGGTTCGGCTCGAAATGCGAATGAAATGTTCAGTATATTTAGGTGAATTTCTCTGAATTAAACTTACCACAACTAAATTTCTGTTCGCATATTTTAGTCGCTTTAACGCTTTGTTTTGTCGTCCACAAATACTTGGAGCGGTTCGCGAATACCAAACTCAGCTAATTCAAAGGGTGAAAGAGGACATAGAGAGGCTGCAGGTGTTTACAGATGTTTTTTTTTTTTTGTTAAAATGCCTCTATTTATTATTTTATTCTTGCTCGTTGCAGGCAAAATTCACAAAGCACTATGCAGAAAAGCGCGGTGAAATTCTAACACCAACGATTGACATCCCACCACTTTCTGCTAACATAATTTGGATTCGTCAAATTGAACGTCAGCTCTCACTGTACATGCAGAGAGTGGCATCGGTGCTGGGAATGGGATGGGAAAATCATGTTGAAGGTTCGACTCTTAGGTCATTGGAACTGGTAAATTTTGAGCACTTTGATTTGCGCTATAGAGCGCCTGTAGCACAGTGGTCGGAGGCGTCCTGAAATACAGATGGGATCGATCTCCATGCCCAAGACTCACTAAACCTGCCATCTCTCCTGGGTCGGCAGATTGGTACCAGACTTCTCTGGGAGGATGGCAGCACTGTCTCCATACATCGGTAGGCACCGCGAGTCGCTGTAAAGACCAGATATGCATTTAACCACCTCCGAACGATGTTTAGTGAGGTCGAATGCATGGCGCATCCCTAAAGAATTGATCAACTCCGAGAGCTTTATCCTTTTTTTTAATTCGCGTTATGTACCAGCCTTATTGTTGCACCAGGTATAACCCTTACCCTAAAGTTTATTATAATTTTGAGGTGTTCTTATTAGAATATTCGTAAGCGTGAAAATTATAACTGCATATGATTAAGTTATTCTTGTGTGTCATTATGTCAGTACTTGTTTTTTCTTTCAGCACGTCAATTGAAAACCGAGGCAGATAATTTCCGGAAAGTACTTGATACTCAGGGGCTGTTTGAAAACTGGGTGGAACAGATTTTGGCTAAAGGAACGAGTACACCTGGCCGTGTGAGTGGTTTATGCGCAGTTGTGTTCATCCTCAGTAGCTTTCGCTTACTATCCGCTTTTGTAGGTTTTTGTAATCGATCGTCGTTCCAAGGACGGGAAGCCTCACCTGCATCTCAAAGTCAACTTTAGTCCTGAAAGTATTGTGTTACATAAGGAGGTTTGCACTTATCCTCTTTATTTTTTCGAAGTTCGCGAATTTTCTTCCTTTACTAAAAGTTATTGAGTACTTGCTGTGTAGGTACGAAACTTGAAGAACATGGGATTTCGTATTCCGCTTAAAGTCGTCAACGCTGCTCACCAGGCCAATCAAATCTATCCATTTGCCATCAGTCTCTTGGAGTCTACTCGGGTATAAGCATGGTTTGGTAAAGTTTCCCAGTGAAGTGTTAACCTTCATTTTTCTAGACGTATGAATCCATTAATGAACGATTGTCGGCAAAAACTGGTATAGATACGCTAATCGCTAGCTATAAGAAAGATATACAATCCCAAATAGCTGAAGGATATCAGCTCACTTGGGAATCATATAAAATCGACCCATACGTTGCCAAGCTTGCCGATACTGTGAATAATTATCAGGTAAAATTTTCGAGCTATTGTTGAAAGGGTGCATTTTTAAGACTCATATTTGTGCTTTCAGGAACGTGTAGAAGAGTTGATTTTAATCGCAGACAATATCGAAGTTTATCTTGCTGCGTTGGATACATGTCAGTATAATGCTGTCACTATTGGTGCTCAGCTAGCGTCAATCCAGAAATCCGTAGATCAGTTAGCACTAGGGAATTATTCAAACTTGACTCAGTGGGTGGACAAACTTGACAAGAAGGTTCGTTGTGTCAATTTTTAACAGCAGATAAGAGTAGCCAACTAGTGGATTGGATTAGTATGTTGCATTACTCAGGCTATAAATGAAGTTAGTGTGGTCTTATGCCTACCTAGGAATCCAAAACAAAGACTCTAAATACTCTAACTCAACGTGGTTAATTTATTGTTTCATGAGACATATATTTTGCAGATAGAAGCGAAACTCGCTGCTCGTGTCGAAGAAGCCATTCGTCTCTGGACGTTAGTGTTTTCGGGTAGTGAAGAAGTGGATGAGTACAGGGAGAGCAATGTCACACTACCTCCAGTTCATCCTGTCCTTATCGAGGTCTGGATTTCTGTGGAACGGCTTCATACTTGGTTTTTATGCGTCTACAAATTCAGATTCGCCTTACCGCTCAAACTATCTACATTAGTCCATCAATAGAGCAAGCTAGAGCGAAGTTATTAGAACAGCTGGTGGAGTGGCATGCAGTTGTTACTAGCCAACCGCGTATTAGTAGCACCCGTTTTCAGGTGAGCCTATCAGTTTATCCTTTCTTTTAAACAACTTAACTCCACCTTAACAGTTAGCAATGAATCGCGATATGGATGTTGCCACGTACAAAAATGTACTGAGTTGTCTTCCTAATGGCTTAGGAGTGCTTGAAAATGCTTACATCACTGTGGATCGAATTTTGAAGGAGGTGAGAGATTATTTACTTCATGGAAATCTATTCTACATTCAATTTATGAAGTGTAAATTTGTCGGGCCTTGTATTTAGTAATTGTAGTCTGTTTAATAGGTGGATGATTATGTCAACGAATGGTTACGATACCAAGCCTTGTGGGATCTTCAAGCAGAAATGCTCTATGAAAGATTGGGCACTGATCTCTCTAAGTGGATGAAAACTCTAATAGAAATCAGAAAAAGCCGTAGTACTTTCGACACTCAGGTGAACTCGTTGTTCTTCTTGAGTGAACGAAATCTCTAGGCTGTCTGGTAACAAAGATCGAAAGTTTTCAAGGGAACTTCCATTGTTCTATTTTAGGATACCAAGAAGGAAATATTTCCTGTCATCGTTGACTATGCTAAAGTCCAATTAAAAGTCACTCTTAAATATGATTATTGGCACAAGGAAGTTCTTCAGAAATTTGGCACCGCCGTCGGTGAGTTGTTATGTTATGCAGCGTCATTTACGTTTCCAGACATTCTTTTGTTAAAACCCATTCGCTTTTCTCCGCTCAGGAAACGAAATGCAGCAATTCTTTGGGAATATTTCCAAGTGGAGAGAAGAGTTAGAGTCACAAGGTGTTGACTCAGGCACAACAACAGACGCTGTAGCATTAATTACATATGTGCAGACTTTAAAAAAACAGACTAAGATTGGACAGGAGACGGCAAGTTAAATGAGTTTTCAGTATCTGTGTATCGCTACCATAATCGTAAAGCCTCTTGCTCAGGTCGATCAATTCCGGGCTGCGCAGCGGTTGCTTTCTCAGCAACGTTATCAGTTTCCTACACAGTGGTTGTACGCAGAGAATGTTGAGGGCGAATGGTCGGCTTTGACAGAAATTCTACTTCGCAAAGACTCGTCGATTCAAACACAAGTGAGCGCTACCAATTTTGCATTGTAGTTCTTGCAGCCGGCCAATTTTAATATATACCACTCAACCGCGCTGACGGGTGATTGCTGTGGCAAAAAGATCGATAGAAATAGCTGAGAGATAGGCGAAACAAAGGACCCGCATGGTGTGGTGGTGAACGCGTTACTCCCCGGAA